CTATAATATTATAAAAACCATTCCTATAATATTATGGGAACCATTCCCATAATATTATAGTGATGATGCCTAATAATATTGAGATATTTAACATTACAACTCAAGATATTTGTGACTTCGATGACCACTTTGAAGCATTTGAAATTATTAGTAATTTCGATAATTTTACTTGCTTCCCAATAACATCATTTGAAATATGTAAAATAAGTAATATTGTTCATATGAATAATAAAAGTTACATACCCAAAAGGTGGATTTAATAAATAAATATTCAACGTATGTATTGTAAATAAATAATTTGTTTTAAAAATAAAATAACACAATAATAACTGAGTTGGAATAAACAATTTAAGATTAAGTAAACACGTAAATAAAAATTATGAAAAAGAAATTTTTTCACTCTAGTGAAAGATCAATTTTTATTTACAAAAAAAAAATTTATTAGCAAAAAAATATATAATAATTACTTTATATTTTTGATGTGATTGTTCCATTATTATGAACATAAACATTTTTTTATTATGTGCGTCATTCCCATAATATCATAGGAACCATTCCTATAATATTATAAGAACCATTCCCATAATATATTGAAGCTATTCCATTATTGTATAGGAATGTTTCCATTAAATTATGGGTATGGTTCCCATAATGAGCAATAGGATTGATTCCTATGATGATCATTATTATTATTATTATAGGAATCATTCCCATAATTTTTAGAAAGGTTCCTATAAATTTCTCTCCGTGTAGTACTGATTGAGAATTTTAAATATTCTTCCAAGAAAACTAAATGAATCGTTTATTTGAGAAACCCTATGAGTCATATGGAAACCCCATATGACTTATGCCAAGGGTTTCACTTGAATTTAAAAATTCTTGATCAAAATAAATATAATTTATTTCATGCCGTAAGATGGACGGCGGAGTTCCTAGGGTTTATCAATTATAAGCATCGATTGTTTGAAAACGATGCTTATAATTCTTGGCATCAATGAATATTTATCTTCTTCAGTAGTAATACTGTAGAAAATAATAGCGATGCCAAGGGTTTCACTTGAATTTAAAAATTCTTGATCAAAATAAATATAATTTTTAACTAATAAACGATTTAAATAATCCAATTATTTTTCTTATTATTATATAAATTATCTAAAATTACTTAAATTTTTTCTCATGATGCAGAGCATCAGAGTGCTTTACAATCGAAAAATTCTGTTTGCCTCTTTTACGCTACATTTTTTTTTCATAATTTTTTCTCATAGTATCAGTTGAAAGAAACTTTCCTATTTTTTTTTTTTATTTTAAAATTTTTTTCTCCAGCCGTTTTCAAGTTATCAATTTTAAAATAAAAGACATTACTTCTTTTTTTTTAAATACTCAACTTTGCAAAGAATAAGCCGATTGGAATTTCTTTTTAATATGTGTTAAAAAGAAAAATTGAAAAAAAAAGTCCCAATTGTCCCATTTTTTACAAAATTACGGTTATTTAAAAAAAAATTAACTTTTTTTTTTTTGAAAATTGATACCTTGAATACGTCTGGAAAGGAATCTAACTGATAATAAGTATATTCATTTATTTATCTATTTTTATTCAAAGGATTGAAGTTCAATTATTAGATTATTGTTGAAATATTATTTATTGCTGTTTGATATTGACATTGGTTTTAAACCAACGATTACATAGTATTATTTTAATTAATTCATAAGTTTTTAACTACATTATATTCTATCTTATACATATCCGCAAGTATGTTACTTTCATGTTGAAGTAGATATGGTCACCAATTATAAATGTTAAAATTGATTGGATTTGAAAACAAGTCTTTATTTTGGAGGCACAAAAAAACTGACTGTATTTTTTTTAAGTCCTTTATAGAAATATGTTAATTTATCAGATTTTACAACGGCATTTATAGCCAAGAAAATTATAGAATGAATAGAAATGTTGACGCATTTTGAAGAGAACTTTTAAGTATGATAATCTAATATATATTTTCATATGAAACTTAAAAAAAATAGTTTTTTTGTGTCTCTACAATATTAATATAAAAAAAAATTCTTCATTGCTTATTTATACTTTTAATAACATATTTAATTATTCGCACATATCTTAAATCCCATTGAGCATATTTATATTTAGAGTAATTTGTAAATATTGCATGTGAATTATTTGATTTACTTATGTTTACATTTTACTTAGAGATAAACTAGAAAGTGCTATAATGCAATCTCTATTTCAAAGGACACTTGAGTAAATATTCTCTCAACTATTTATTTATGTTGAAAATTAAAAAACGGTTAAATAATATTACAATATATAAAAGACAATATTTTAATCTTAATTTGTGTAAATATTTTATTTTATTTTTTAATTATATACTAAATCAGGATACATTTAAAATCATGACTTTAAATTTATAGTGAAGTCACAGCAAACTAATGGAGAGACTTGTCTACTGTCGTATATTTTATGACTTTGATTCCAAGAATTTCAGACTCGTCGTAATCCAAGTTTTAAAGACTCCACTGTACATTATGTTGGATGATACATTATTATTATTTCTTAGTATGAAAGAAAAAAAAAACAAATGAAGGTGTCAGCAAAAAGAGTGTAAGTGACAAGAAAAAAATTCTGGTTTTGAATTAAAAAATTTTACTTAAAAAAAAAAAGCAGATACTAGAAAATACAATTTTTTATTGTCACGTATACCTTTTTAAATTCAACCTCTTTAAATATTATTTTTTAAAAAAAGAAAAAACAATACAAATTACTAGACACTATTGATATTTGTTGTTTTCAATTTTTATAAATTCATAATGAAAATATTCTCTATGACGGTACGAAAATTTAATTTATTCGTTCTTGATTTCTTTTTCTTTTTTCGCTGCAATAGATTTTTCTCTGCAATAAGCCCGAGAGTAAAAATCAAAGAACAAAGCAAAGAATATCGTTGAATGTAAAAGAAGTAATGTTGCGACGAGCTTAGGGTATCCACAGTCGAAAATGAGTGCTTGAGCGCTATGTATAAATACTAAGAAAAATTGAACCTGTAAATAAATAAAATAAAAAAAATTAACATTATATACCAAGCAATATATGTTGTGAGATAGATTTAGCAATGAATTAATCCGCAAGTGGCAGTTGCGTATACCTGAGAGTTAAAACTCTTCTCTAGTCTTCGTAAATCAGAGGGTGGCGGGGAATTTGGTGTGTGTATACGAGATAGCTGAATTTACAGGTGAGGTTCTTAAAGGCACGCGGCCTATTCACAACTCGACAGTGGTCCCGCAGCATATCGGAATGCCAAATTATTACGACATCTTACAGTTCTCCATTCCAGCAAAGCAAGTTAATCAGAATTGCCCAACGTAGGTAGATATCTACTTTTCACTTTCCCTTCCCTACTAGTGTGAGATTTTACCCGGCTCTTTCAAGTCACCGTTTAGACTCCAGAATGTCTAATCACCAATACCATTGGTGTTGCTGTCAAATTATTTTCGATAAAAAGTAGATATATATAAAACATTTTTTTTCATACACAGAAAGAAAAATTTCTTGACTGGAGAACAAAATTCTTGGCTCAAGAAAATTTGTCGGGTGCCTGAAGAAAGACCGAAGTTGTGTTGGCCGAAGTAAAAATTTTTCTTTAAATTCTATTCTTGGTGAAAGTCATTTTTTCTTAATTCAAATTATCATAAATACTTGATATGATAAATTTTTATATTTAATCAAGATTTTTAGATACTTTAGGGAAGCAGCGCCAGCTACTCGGCTGCCCAATTTCAAAACACAGTACCCTGATAGCCAAACCGGTCGCAACTTTCCGTTGATTTGCTGCAGCAACTTGTCACCAAGTTGGCGGCAAGTCTTGGAAATGAACTCGGTTGTTCACCAAGTTGTCGCCAAGTTGTCGGCAGAAATTGCTTTCGAAACTCTTTCGCACCAAGTTGACGACAAGTTTCTCGAGAAATTTGGCGACATATTGCGGCAGTAGATTGGTCTTGTTTTTCTCAGAAACTTGTAGCCAACTTGACGCCAACAGTTTCAAATTCGGAAGTTGACCGCAAGTTGTCGGTAAGTTGGTGACAACTATCTGACACCAACTTGGTTGGTCTGAAACTGTAGCTATCAGGGTAACTAACATTTAAAAATTTTTTTTAATTATTCTTATCAAAAAAAAGTTTGCCTGCCAAATTGATGAAAAATTTGATTTATGAATACAAAATACTTGAAAATAAATATTAAAAAAAAAATACTTGAAATTAAAGTTTAAAAGTTATAGAAAATGCAGCAATATTAAAAAAAATTAGGTATAAAAATTTTACAGTTGCTGTGTTTTAAAATTGGGCAGCCGTATTTCAGCTAAGAAAAAAATTTTCTCACCTTGAGAAAATATTTCTCTTGAATATTTGATACCCATTTTATATTATTTTAGCGTGCAATTATATATAATGAATGAAAAAAAATGATTCGATATTATTTGATCTTCTCATTTGACATGTTAATCAATAATAATATTAATGAAAATTTACTTCTATCTTTATATTTAATTTTTTGGAGCAAGAGAGAAATTTTCTCAAGACAAGAAAATTTACTTCTATTAAGAACTAAATTTTTTTGGAGCAAGAAGCTGAATTTTCTCAAAATAAAAATATTTTCTTGACTTAAATAAATTTTCTTGGATTAAGATACGTATTTCTCAATGCAAGAGAATTAATTTTCTTGGAATAAGTGAAATTTCTTGTGTCAAAAAAATTTTTTTTTCGCTCAAGAAAATAATTAGGAAGAAAAATATTTTCTTGGCTCAAGTGAACCTTTTTTTCTGTGTATGTTAGTGTAATTTTTTAATCAATTTTTTGTTTTGTTTAATTTATTAATTCTACTTCAATCTAAGAAGAAGAAAAAATTATTTGCAAAGATATCGTCGATCAGATAAATTTAATTTAATAAAAATTTGATTGTAAAAAAATATAAACTATATGAATTGCGTATTACAAAACTTAAAAAATTATTTAAAGGTGATTCCTTAGCGATAGAGATTTATCATGAGAGGCCATCTAAAATAAAAGATTGTTTGCCCTTAACAGCTTGCTGGGTACAGAGTAATCAACAATTACAGTGTAGTACACTTAGACCACTCACTTTCATTTGGCAATAATTTTCCAGTAATTCACGTATATGCTTTCGCAATATTTAACAACTATTATAAATTAAACCATTCAATTTGTGATAATTGATCAAGGCTAACCCACTACATTTACCCCGTCAACAGGACCCTGAGTTTCTTAATATTACGTTAATGCACTTATATATTACCTAAAACATTATCCATTTCACTACGTAAGTGAAGTGTACATTTGGTTTGGTACGCATTCTTATTTTCAAAGGAGGCCGTTTGGTTTTTACTTTGAATTGCCCTCGGGACTTTTCGGTTGCATGTTATTTCTATTATAATAGTATTCATATTATATTAAATTAATTTAAATCCTTACCAACTGAACAGTTGTCAAATGTTTCTTCCACCATAAGTATTTCTGATACTCAGGTCCCATTGCAGAAAGCATGTAATATGCATACATAACTACGTGTACAGCATTGTTGATGAGATTACCAAGGGTGCCGTGGCCACCGGCTATAAATTTAACGCATATCCACGTCTCCAGCGGGGTCAGCGAGTGATGATATAGATGCAAAAATGTTACTTGACTGTCTTTTTTGCGTAGCACAAAAAATATCTAAAAATATAAATTAAGAGAAATAAAATACAAAAGTACATACGTCCACTTGCAATTCTATATAGTAAGATCTTAATCGTTATTTACTTGTTTATGAAAAAAAAAAAAAAAAAAAAAAAAAAACTAGTATAAACTAATGCATTATTGTATGTAAATTACTTTCAAATCATTTTATTTCAATAATGATCAAAATCACTTTTCTTTTTTTTAATGCAATCCAAGTTAATGATCGAACACGTTAGATTGTCTTTTAAGTATTAATAAAAATTAGCTCAGCGTGTCGATGAAGCAACGCAATTTTAATTTACCAGTTTGCAATTTTCTCAACAAAGTTGATCGGAGCAATTGCTTAATAGCATATCATAAAAGCATCTGAGCAGTTAAAAGAAATTAGTGTTTGCTCATTAATCACATTGTTTATTGTTTCATTGTAAAATAGACATAAATACTGTTTTTATTACAAAAATTAATCTTTAAACTTTCTATTTATAAGAAATTAATTGAAGTAAATCAAAAATTCTCATTTAATTTTAACAAATATCACATTCTTAGTTTTAAATTTTGAGTCACTAAATTTATGAATCTTTTTTTGTTTTTTATCAGTCAAAATTCATTTTACTAAAGAATTTCTAAAATTATTACGTTCAAAAATTTTTCTTTGTGTAGTTTTGATAATATTTTTACAAAAAACGACTGCTGTGGCTGAGAAGTTATCTCTTTTACAGCTAAATTATAGTGGACAGACAGGCTTGAGTTCAACTATTACAAATCCTTCTTAGTTCCTGAATTACTTCTTTTAGCAATCTTGGTATTTTGACTTGTAACCGGCTTTGCGACTTGGGTTTTTTTTTACTGTACAGTTTTTCCCTTCTGACTATGTAAATAGATAAGCCAAAAAATGGATGGTGGAGAAAGCAAAAATAAATAGTACATAGGACAGTTCAGGAAAACTCAAAGTCGAATTCGTAATAAATAAAAGCTTTTATTATTCTTATTACTATATCATCAATTAGATATCAAAGGACACAGGAATGAAGTTTAGTTCATGAGTCACCCGACAATGGAACAATTTACATGTATGTATTATAACTATTATAATGAACTATTAGTTACAATCATTTTTGCATTTTGCATCACATTGATACTCTTCGTAATGTGTTAGCAAGGAGCAGCTTACATTTTGCAGTTATTTAAATAAAAAATGGTGATTTTAATATGGACGATAGGATTAATTTAAACTAAGAAAATATTTGCAAAGACGAAGTTTTAACAAAATGGAACTAAGTAAGATAATGCAGACTTTGAAGTGAGCTCAAACAAATAAATCGAGTTTTTATTTTATTTATGAGCTTATCTTAGAGCTCGATAGTTTTTGCACGCCTCATAAGCGAAGCCGATATCTCTATTTATTTTCTATCGCACTTGTAGAACAATATTTACACATAAATGCCATGGAAAAACACTAGTATCAACACTTATGACATTTTTAAAAGACATTTTGCTTTTAGATAAATAAAAATAATGTTTAAAAAAATTATTCCGTGGACGTCTGGCTGTCAAATGTATGCATGAAAACTGGTGTGGTCACGATGACTGCCGCGAAACTTAACTGGTCAAGTTCATTTTTTTTTTATACGCTTCAGTATGGTTTAAAACTAAATCCTTTAGAAAATCACGGTCTAATTCAATGTAGTTTGTTTATAATTAGCAATTAACTAAAAATCCACTATTCGTTTGTATATCTATGTAAATAAGGTTCGTTTATAATACATGCGCAGTACCTTTTCTTTTCTGGGTAGACAATGGCGCGAAAGATTTAGAAGTATTTTTTTCAAATTACTAAACAATTATACAATTTTTTTGTATTTTATTTTAATGAATTTTATTATAGAAAATGAGATTATGAGGCAAGCATTTTTGGATTTTCCAAACTTTTTTTTTTTAGTTCAACTTTGATGTCTTTGAGACTTCCCCAGGGCTCATACCCCTCTTCACAGTAAAAAATTTTGCGTCATTGCGTCAAAAAATTTTTCTGTTAAATACTTAAAACTTTTTTGTGTTGATTTAACAGAATAAATGTTAAATTTACACATAAAAGTTTTAAATATTTAACACTAAGTTTTTTGACGCAATGACGTAAAATTTTTTACTGTGTGAGCTTAAATGTACCGCTTCAGTGCAATTTTTACCTTAGAGTTTATTTTAGAATTTTTAAAACTCGTTAGAGCTTATCAAATCGTTTTATTTTTATGTGAGTGAGTATTTTTTCAATCACAGAAAATTTTATTTGAGAATGGTGAGAATCAATTACATGGGGTTGAATAATAATTAAATTGTTATCTAAAATAGTTCTTATTAGAAACATAAATTTATCACACTCGTCCTTAAATAAATGTTACATCAACCTTAAGCTCATATTGCGATCACTATTTTTTAGTTATTTACTCTTTAGTCCATGTACAGCTCAAGCTAGCTTATTATGCTGCTCTCTGCCGACACATTGCGGGGTACTGTTTGACGTTTGTTACTCTCAGCCGTGTTACAAAATAAAGAAAAAGTTTGCAGCTGAATCATAATTTCCCTAATGATTTTTCTTTGTGACTTCTTTATATAATTTTGAATAGTACTATTTGAAAAAAAAAAACATTCAACTTCAAAGTATACCATATAGCCTCATAAATAATGATTCCAATTTGGAAAAACTCGAAATCATCGGAAAAAATAAATTATTTAAAATGATAAAAGCAAAAAAAAATCTTACTGTATCAGCGAATTCTGTAAACTTGCTAATAAAATACCACCAGCATAAATTAGCCATCCGCATCGCTGTAGGATTGTGTGAGTAATCAACTGGTTGACATTTATAACTATAATCCAATAACCATCCGGACATGAGGTGCTGTACAGAAAAAATATTTAAAAATTAGTATATTTTTTTAATGATTGTAATTCGTTAATGTATTAAGTTCTCTATACATAAGAGTGTATCGCTTTATTAATTATGTTCACTTAATAGTGTGGAACTATATAAATTTTTTTAAATCGCATTTAATCTATAATACTTATTTGATATCCCTGTTTTCATCATATTTCAAAGAGTGGCAATCAATAGCCACCACAAAGTATGAAGTATTTTACTAGCAGAAGCCTTGGTTTATGGAAAGTAATCAAAAGAAATTCCACAAAGACTGAGAAGGAGAGAGAAAGAGAGAACAAATCGTTGCACAAACGAAAACAGGATGTTTTGCCTTAATCGACAGCAACACGTGTGCAAATTGGCCTTGTGTAATCATCCACCATGCACCAAACAGGTCTACTTCTGCGATAATTTCATCTTTCTCTAATATATTTTTAAGAGTATCTAAATTTTTGAATGACAGCAACTATAAATAATAAATAGTTTGCTTCTTTAATATTTATTTTAATGATTTTTTTTATGGTTTAATGATAAAAGATACTATATACACTAAAAATGTATACGTGTCCATTAAAATAATTTTATTCAGATTTACTTAAGTATATTTCATAAGAGGTTAAATATTTGGTCCAAAAAGTTGAAAAACCGGTGTTTTTTTTTTCTTCTTTTATATGTAGACATTGAGTATGGATGATAATGGGTCAAGGTGAGAGTTAAATTTTTATTGCTTAGAATGACTTGAAAAAATTTGATTATTCAATTATGTATCTAAAAAATTCAATAATATAATTTTAAGTTTTATTTCATGGTTTACATTCTGCAAAATGACAAAATCAAATTTTTTTTAAATCAGGGGATCACTTTTAACAATTTTTTTTTGTTTTTGGTTTGGAGTTCTTATGTATGATAAATTATATTTTTTCATAAATGCGTGGGTTACTGAATAACAGGATAGTCGTCAGCTAAACCGCTCATTGTATAAATATCATCGGATTAATGAACTTCCAGACTTTTTTATTTGTATTTTAAACCAGAATCTTATGATATTTAAACAAGGAGTAAATTAATTTTTAATAACAAAGTGAAGACAAAAAAATGTCTTTCATCAGTTACATGATGTAGGTAAATTCACTGTAATTTTAAGTTATGGAAAGGTTAAAACATTTATTCTTGTTCTGACTATTATTTTAGAAGTAATAATTAGTAAAGTAAAAAATACTTTTAAAGTTCGTGGGTCATTTTGGATTCGATAATCTATTGCCTAACAATCGAGCATCTTACATAGGCGGAAGAAAGACGAGTAAAAAAAACTAAAGTTTATGTAGTATAATATGAAAACAGGTTTTCTATGGACAAAAATGTATAAAAGTTATCGCTTTTACGGTAATTAATGAAATTTTTGCAACAAAAGGGTAGTGACAATCAAAAATCTTGGTCATTATTATAGCTTAAAGCTGGAATAATTTACGCATATCAATAAATCTTTTAGATACGAAAATACTTTCGGATGTTACTGTGAATGTGATGTAATTGAATCATCTAAAACATATGTGTGCTTAAAATCTTTGCTTGAGAATTCGAGTTCATTATCCCCACAAATATTTGATGATTAAAATTTTAAATTAAGTTAAAGCCGTATCAAGTTAGGATACGAGAATGATTGGTCAAGTATAGACGTAAAGTAGAAAAATTATTGTCACTTTTATTATCTTCAACTACTAGTCTGAATAATTAAATTTCGAATTATAAGAAAAAAAATTATTAAAAATTGTATTTTTTTACAAATTACTCAAAATCCAATTAGTATTTGTTTTAGCTAATTTTATATTTGAAGGTTCAGTACTTTAGTAAAACAACAACTTTTATTAGTAAATTACATAAATCAAATTTACCTCGTAAAGCATCCCTATAGAAAAAATGACTTGAAATGCATTGTACACTACAAGAATTTTTCTTAGTTGAAACGATTTTCGGTTTGCCATCATCTTTGGTCCAAGTATCACGACGCCATACAAATAGAGTAAAACAATAAGAAATGTTGGTATAGGTGATTCCATCAAAGGCCAATCACTAACTCTAGGATCTGATGCTGTCTCTAGAATTTCAGTATATTGCTCCAAAGCCATTCTCACTAGATCTTCTGCTCCTACAAATGATCTATTTGGATCAAGTGTTTTAAGAAGCTCCGGTTCACGTTCAACAACTAGTTCTGCTGCTGCTGAAGCCATTTTTTCTAAAATATTTACATAAATTATTATTTACAAATTCATTAGTTGATTAATATGATTTTATATATAAAATAGGGATTCGGTGCAGTGTGTTAAGACCGAAATAATTCAAAACCAATATTTTTAGACCATAATAAAGCTTATTAGATTTTGCTATTGATCACCAAGTTAGTTTAAATATCTCGATACACGTGTAGATGAAAAGTTCAAACCTCAAACATCTAGTGAAAATTAAATATTAGAAAATAGACTACTTTGTAAAAGAAAGCTTAAAATCATCTTAGCAAAACGTGGACAAATACAAAAGTAAAATTTTCATATCTTATATTTAAAAGAAAAAGTATTGAATCAAGAAAACAATTTTGAAGAGTTTCATGATCTTGAATCGAAACTCAGCATTTTTTAATTAAATATAATTTACGTAAATCGACAAAATTTCTTACCCATGTAAAAAAAAGTCGTCTTAAAATTATCGTTCGTTTAAGATCTTAAACGTGACACAAACCAAGACAATTTTAAGACTCTTTTAAGACGCCAAAAAAAAAAATTCCGAGAGCAGATTTTTGAAATTTTGATTCTCGAATTTTTTGTGAAAATTTATTTTTAGACGATTTTATGACTTTCTAACCGCAATATTTTTGAGTAAGATGTTTTTAAATTGAATTTAAAATTGTTAAAAAATTATCAACCGACAATTTTAACACTTTTTAAAGACGTTCTGTTTAAGATCATTTTAAGATAATTTAAAGGCGCTTCTTAATAATTTTGCGTCTTTGAATAGTCTTAAAAAAATCTTAAAATAGTCTTAAAAAAAACTTAAAATCGTCTTGAAAAAATCTTAAAATAGTCTTAAAAAAATTATTAAAAAATTTCTAGGCTTTTTTAAGATGATATCACAATGACTGCTTCGGAAAATTATTAAGGAGTGTCTTTAAATTGTCTTTAAATGATCTTAAATTAATCTTAAAAAAATCTTAAAAATAAATTTAGAGACTATTTTAAGATGAGCTAACAGCGACAAAGCCCTGGAACATTAAAACGGAACGTCTTAAAAATGTCTTAAAATTGCCGGATGATAATTTTTTAACAATTTTAAATTCAATTTAAAATCATCTTACTCAAAAATATTGCGGTTAAAAAGTAGTAAAATCGTCTAAAAAATATATAAAAATGTATAAGATCTTAAACGAACGACAATTTTAAGACGATTTTTTTTTACACGGGTAGTTACAAAACTTCGATTTGATTTAAGACGATCAAAATTTTAAAAATGTCTTTCTTGGTTCAATAGTTTTTCTTTGGATTCAATATACTTTGTTTATCATTGTAATAACTACTAATTAGGACTTTTACATTAAACGATAACGATTATTGTTAAATTTACAAAATAACTTAAAATATACTTTATTTTCATTTTGCATAATGATATAATATAATTTTGATAGTACTATTCTGGAACCATCATTAGCAAGAAACATTAATTATGTTTATCATAAGTGTAGTTATATAAATCGTATTAAATAATATCAGTCATCACTATTTCAACTGTTAATTTTTTACAGAGACTTATATTTTTAAGATTATCTAATAAAAATATTTTTTAAGTTATTTCTATTATTCTGAGAATTCATTAGTTAAAAGGATTATGCAAGACTACTTTCAAATTTAACTATTATATTACGGCATAATTATTTCAATAAATCTCGAAAATATATGAAGCTCCATAAAGGTTTTTTAAAACTTCTAATAATTGAATGACGAATGAAATTTTTTATTTTTTTTTCGTGTGTACATAAGACAACTTTTTAGTTTACATGAAGTTATGAGATAGCTCAAGGAGACACAGCGACTGTCCTTGTCAAGGAGACAAAATTATTATTACTTTTCGTGGTCTCATGTTTTATGAATCATTAAGTTAGTAAGTAATTATGCAAATATATATTATAAATTCAAATGTATAAAAAAAACTGAAATATTACCAAATTTTGGTCTTTTTATGAAAGCCATAGAGTCTAATTTAAAAAATCAACATATATTATGAAAAAAAATATTTATATATATATATATATATATATATATATATATATATATATATATATA